TTTTTTACATTAAACCAGGCAAGTGTTTGACCACGATATCACCTACTGAGAAGCGACGATGTGGTTGAAGCTGTAGCACGCTTGCTTGTTTACTTTAATTAAAAAATAAGAAAAAAATAGGTGCGTGGCCCGGCAGGAAATATTATTTCTGTAATTTGGCACGCCTTCTGAAAAGGTTGGCCACCCTTGGTCTAAATAGAGGCCAGTTTCCCTTATAAAGACCTCCCGGAAGGCATTCCCCTAGGCCCTCTAGGCAGATCCAAATAAACAGAACTGGAAAATAGTGATTCTGAAAACGAAGAACCCAAAAATTTCTCTACAGATTTCCTTAGTGAAAGTTAGGTAACAGTAACCGAAATCGTTGATCAAATTGTAAGCAAGCGAATGATCCAGATTTTGAAAGGAGTGCAAAAGCAAGACGAGACGGATGCGATCTTCTACTCCGACATTTGCTTTAAAAAAAGAGAAAAAAGCAACAAATGAACTACGCGACTTTATCCAAAAAACAACAATTTCAGAAGAGCCAGGACCTTCGTCACAAAAAATTAACTTTACATTTCTGCGTGCATATGCTTGTGTGTTATTTAATGTATATTATTATGCAAATTAATATAAAACTAAGAAAAAATTAAAGTGAAATTTGTTTATTTTTGGTCGCGTGTTCTCCTTTCCCTATTTACTCTGTGTTGAAATGACCTCGTTTAAATTAAAGAAAGACAAACAAACAGACGACAATGGGAATTTTCAGGTCTACTATTTTTCCAATAGTTCACTAAATTTATACTTTACGATATACAAAGTTATATAACAATTCTTACATATATAATTTGTATACATCAAAATATTTTTAGAGCCTAAAAATTTTTGGCTTTTCTCAGTAACTTAGAACACACAAGGAACTTTTATTGATATATACTTTATTACTTGATTGCGGATATACATTCGGGTATTAAATCCTCCTCTGATTCCATCCCAGAGAGAGACAAATGCCCCGTTTGGCTTCTTCTGCCATGCAAATAATGTTAAAGGAGTCATTATATTGCCAGAAATAAAAGGAAAAGAAGTGGCAATTGTTTGAACTAGCGGAAAGGAGCAAAGAAAAATTTTAGTACTGTTAAAAAATTACTTACCAATTATTAATATGAAGAAATCTTGATCCTATAAGATTCGTTTTTAGTCTTAAACTTAGCCTCACGGCTGAACATCTGCTGAACATAGTTCATTCGCATTACTATAATTCAAAGACCCTCAAACTGCTTCAAAACAAAAACCGAATTAGTGTGTGGGGTCTATAACAAATTGCCCACCGGAGAGAGGAACAAACAGCCAACCAGACATCATTTAAGACTACTTTGTGCTGGCTTATAATGCACACCCCAATCTTGAAGATCAAAATAGATGCGCATTAGAATCGAGAAAATAAATACTAACGCGTATTTTATTAGAAATTATTTTTATTGTGTGCCAGTTAGGTGATTTTATTACGTTTATCCGAATACAGTACATTTTCTTTTAAGCGAAATTTTACAATAATAAATCACACACACCTGATTTGTATTTGCCGAGTTATTTTGTTTATTCAAACGTTTAATCTATTTATAATAATAAATCACACACACCTGATTTGTATTTGCCGAGTTATTTTGTTTATTCAAATGTTTATTCAAACGTTGAATAAATAACTCGGCNCCGAGTTATTTTGTTTATTCAAACGTTTAATCTATTTATAATAATAAATCACACACACCTGATTTGTATTTGCCGAGTTATTTTGTTTATTCAAATGTTTATTCAAACGTTGAATAAATAACTCGGCAAATACAAATCAGGGGTGTGTGAGTTATTATTATAAATAGATAGCATTGCTGAGAAGGTAGATAGAAATTTTACATATAACAAATATTCTGCCAAATTCGAGATAAAAGAATTTGTTAAAAAGAATCTTTCCTTTAATAAATGTAATTAAAATAGTCGAATTATTACATCTATGACGTAAAACTCGTGACGTAACGCGTGACTCATTGCAACGTTCGACGGATTCGAATTCGTTCCATTTCGTATCATCGGCGACATCTTGGAATAGAATATTTTCCGGAAATTGTGAGTTATTTTTCCCTCCATTTTAACATTTTTCATACGAATTTTAATAACGAAAGCTTGCGTAACGTAGGTAACTTAATATTTTTCGATTAATATTATATCAAAATTAAATAAGCCTTAAACCTAGATTTGCGGCCGTAACTTGTAAGGATATGGAATACGGTTTTATAATTTTATTACAAATTTCTTAGCGATATTTTACAAAAAAAAAAAAAAAAACTATTTTAGCATTTTGAACAAAACATTTGCAATTAGTCAATATTCTGACTAATTGCAAATGACGTAACGTGTGACGCATTTATCGCACGTTTCACCCAAGTACTATAGGGCGAACGCAAGGACTTTAAACCCAAGTTTAAAGTCCTTGCGTTCGCCCTATGTTAGGGCCGGCTCTGCCCTGGTAGCTTATAAAATTTCAGAATTAAAACTCAAATAACGCTTATTAAATATCACATTTTTCTCAGTGTAATAAACAATAAGGAATTACCCACTTACATAAACCACAATGTACAACAGAAATAATAGAATAGTAATTTTCTAATTTAATGTGAAAAATTCGTTAGGAAATACGATTTAAAAAAGTCTTTTTTTTAAACTTTTCGAAGCGATCGAGCATTCGATTCTAGAGAACATGTAATGAGAGTGACCATATAATAAACGCTTTTCTATTGGCCTAAGAAAAAATTAAAGTGAAATTTGTTTATTTTTGGTCGCGTGTTCTCCTTTCCCTATTTACTCTGTGTCGAAATGACCTCGTTTAAATTAAAGAAAGACAAACAAACAGACGACAATGGGAATTTTCAGGTCTATTATTTTTTCCAATAGCTCACTAAATTTATACTTTACGATATACAAAGTTATATAACAATTCTTACATATATAATTTGTATACATCGAAATATTTTTAAAGCCTAAAATTTTTTGGCTTTTCTCAGTAATTTAGAACACACAAGAAACTCTTATTGATATATACTTTATTACTGGATTGCGGATATACATTTGGGTATTAAATCCTCCTTTGACTCCATCCCAGAGAGAGACAAGTGCCCCGTTTTTCTTCTTCTGCCATGCAAATGATGTTAAAGGAGTCATTATATTGCCAGACATAAAAGGAAAAGAAGTGGCAATTGTTTGAAGTAGTGGAAAGGAGCAAAGAAAAATTCTAGTACTGTAAAAAATTACTTACCAATTATTTAAAATGAAAGAAATCTTCATCCTATAAGATTCGTTTTTAGTCTTAAACTTAGCTTCACGGGTGACCTGTCTGCTGAACGTAGTTCATTCGCATTACTATAATTCAAACCATCAAACTGCTTCAAAATAAAAACCGAATTAGTGTGAGGGTCTATAACAAATTGCCCACCGGAGAGAGGAACAAACAGCCAACCAGACATCATTTAAGTCTACTTTGTGCTGGCTTATAATGCACATCCCAATCTTGAAGATCAAAATAGATGCGCATTAGAATCGAGAAAATAAATACTAACGCGTATTTTATTAGAAATTATTTTTATTGTGTGCCAGTTAGGTGATTTTATTACGTTTATCCGAATACAGTACATTTTCTTTTAAGCGAAATTTTACATTTAACAAATATTCTGCCAAATTCGAGATAAAAGAATTTGTTAAAAAGAATCTTACCTTTCCACTTGAATAAAAACCTTTCAATCTCCAGTGTTATTCTTCTTGGCAAACGTTTTCAACCCTACCAGGGTCTTCTTCAGGCCACTGTTATAATAAATTCAAACAGTACAAAATCGAACAGGAACCGAATAAATGCGATTCAAATCCTAGAACGTCAACGTTACTTTCAAAAATATAGAACACCACGCTCTTGCGTCGATGACGTCAAAGCTTGCGTAATTTGCGCTTGTAATAAATCCATATTACATCTAATTATGGGTTGTTCCTTCATAGCAAAATTTCCATGCACTAGATATGTTGACTGNTGATTAAGGGGTGGCCGAAATTTTTCTCCGCCCCGGGCGGCTAACACCCACGGTACGCCACTGCGCATCTGAACTCGTCTATCAAAAAATTGGCGCATGGTATGCAAAAGGTTGGCCACCCCTGAAGTATAGTATGTGGCTGCGGCTAAATTAGCGTTTGGAAAAGACATGGCGACAGCTCTCGTATGACCACTCTCTCATTATAGGCTCTGTATTCGATTCCTTAAAACTTCACGTTCACTATAACACTATAATGTTAGAAAGGAGGTAGGATCGAGATTCAAGCTAAGCCTTCAGCCGTGTTACAATTTGCAATTTCCACCCACGCAAGCAACTGCAACTGCAACTTGAAGCGAACAGTTTGTTCTACTCGCGCCGATTGCAAATGCGCATCCGTTTAGCAAACGCCTTTGTCCCAAGTTATTCGGTGAAAACTTTGAAAATAGTTATCGTCGTGGCAGAAATAATGTGACTATGATAATACGCGCGCAACTGGAGGCAGTTACCAGGCTGAAAATCGCTAGGTGTGACCATCGTTTTAGGAAAATGTGACCAGTCTCTCACTCCCGCTTACACATTGTATAAGTTAGTTTTTCTTATGATAACAGTTGAAGTCTTTTCCAGCACGAAACGATTTATTTATAGAATGTTTTCGGCTGTCTGGGCGGCCATCCACAGGATCGAACGTTTGTAATTGAATAATATATGGAATATTCAAACAAATTTAAAAAATTAAACTAGGTAAAAAATTATGCAATTTACACGAAAAAATTTTTTCTTTGGTAAAGATAAACTTTTGTAAGTTATAAAAAAAAAATGTATTTTATTTTTGAAAATAGCCCAAAAACCTCAAACTGTACAGTTAAAAAAAAATGGTAGAAAATATTCCAGATGGCGCTAGTGCAAAGGTATTTGATGTTTCGTAAGGAACGTATCGGTTTATATCGTTGGATATAATGTTACGTGCTATTGTTATTTTTATAAATAAAAAAATGTCGAAGAGGGAAGAGCAATTAGAAGACAGCGACGACGAATACATCGATAAAGATTATCTGAATTGTAAAAGATTTAAAAATTCATTGGATAGTGATGAAGAAGATGATGAAGAGAAATGCAAGAAGGAAAATGTCCTTGATCCTGATGAATTGGAAGGTGATTTTTATTATTATTTTATATTTCTGTTGAAATTTATGTAATAAGTTATTGAAATATTTTACAAATCAATTATTTAATTAACATACAAATGTATACGGTTAATGTCCAGATACGTGGACTGTCATGGCGGCACTTCTTGTTTCAGCTTCGAAACCGGACCGGTTTGGAGACGACATGTCACGTGACGACGTGAGCGAACGGCGGCGGCTGTCATGGTGCCTCATCGCTGATTCCAGCAAACAAAAGGAAACAGTGGGGACGCACGTTCTAACCTAACCTAACCTAATAATATAATTGGTAATAATTATGATAATTTATTAGAATAGGTTAGGTTAGAAAGTGCGTCCCCACAGTTTTTTTTGCCGGAATCAGAGGTGAGTCGCCATGATAATCCACGTGTCTGGACTTAAACAAGAAAAAAGAAAAGGAAACAGTGGGGACGCACGTTCTAACCTAACCTAACCTATTCTAATAAATTATCATAATTATTACCAATTATATTATTTCAGGTTAGGTTAGAACGTGCGTCCCCACTGTTTCCTTTTCTTTTCCAGAATCAGAGATGAGCCGCCATGACAGTTCACGTATCTGGACATTAACCTATTATACAATAATGCAGTGCAGAATATATGTACATTTCACATGTAAGATACTTTGACCCTAGGCTTTGAAACATAAATTATGTACTTTGATTTGACCATACTTTTGAAATGGAGCTAAACATTCTCAGGTAAATAAATACAGTAGAGCTTCGTTTATCCGAAAGCATTCCAGTCGGCAAATTTAAATTTTCGCTAGTGCTGTGGCGCTGCAATCTTCGGCTAATTCTCGGGCTACTCAAACATTTTACGTTTTTGATACTAAATTAACACATAAAGTATAATTTTTTATTGTTTTTATATTTTTCAATATATTTATTTTGTTTGTACAGTACAAAATAAAAAAAATAATTTTTAACGATACAATAGTCTTCGTTAGGCTTAACATCGACAAAAATTCAACGCGAAGCGACACGCAACGGAGAAAAATTTCAATATCGGATAAATTAATATATTTTTTCGTACATGATTTGTTATCCGAACTACCCCAGTCCCCAATTGATTTGGATAAACGACGCTCTACTGTAGATTGATTTGTTAATGCGAGGCATTAAGGCTACTTGTCGTGCCACATTTTTGCCCGCTACGAGTAAGCTTGAGGGTGCGACTATGCAGATGCGAGCGAGTGAGAAGTGATGACATTTCACGCTCAGTTTCTTGCTCTTATCTGTGTGGTCGTAATAAATGAGAATAAGTATTCTCACTCGCTCGCATCTGCATAGTCGCACTCAAACGTGTAATGGAATCGACTTGCGTGACCATAGATGGAAAACGACACTTTGTTCCATATTAATCAAAATAAAGTATGAAATTTTGGATCGGATTCAAAATTAGATTTCCTACGGGAAATGGGATATGTCACATTCCTTGTAGAAAGTCCTGTAATTGATTATACTTGTTTTGTCTGGTCTATGAATAATAACTAAAGTAGAGCCTCGATTATCCGACCCCTCGGTTAACCGACCGTCCTAGTCGGCAAATTTCAAATGTCTGCTATTGATGTGGCGCTTCAATATTTGGCTATGTCTTGGCTACTTTAATATTATTTTTACGTGTTTTAGCTGGCAACACTCATTCGACCATGAAAGGGAGCCAGTGTTTAAACGAGGCTTAACTTTCTAATTTTTAACGATACAATAGCGATGATTATTATTTTAAAAAATTTTTGTTAGGCTTAACATAGATGAAAATTCAACACAAAGTAGGTTAATAGCGATATACTAATTACGTGAGATATAATGATATACTACACTAATAATGGATTTTTTCATACTTTTCGGTTATCCGACTTTTCAATTATCCGACCAACCCCAGTCCCCAATTAGGTCGGATAATCGAGGCTCTACTGTACTACTATTTTTATGCTTGAAATTCGTAAGAATATTGATATTTTCTTTTTAATATATTATTTCTCTTGTAATCAATACAACAAAGTAAGAATAATGATTAAAAATTGATTATTGTTTCTCACCATATATATTCTTTGAGCAGCAGTTGTTTAATTTAAATTTAAAAGAAATTTAAAGGTTTTTGTAATCTTAGTCGATATCAATTAGACACATATACTCGAGGGCTCATCACGCCGGTAAATGAGAATTATATTAGAAAATCTTTAATGATTATTTACAATAAGATATGGCTCTTTTCGACAATATATTGTACAGAACACTTAAAATGCATTTTGGACTCAATACGACCCTCTTCAATTAGTAATTTTATGAACACTAACCGAAAAGGAATGTAGCCTATTGAGTTGGAAATGCATTTTAAGTGTTTTGCATAATATATTGTCGAAAAGAGCTGTACCTTATTGTAAATAATCATTAAAGATTTTCTAATATCACACCAGTGAACGAGAATTATAAGCCCTCATGTATATGTGTCTAATTGATATAGACTAAGATTAAAACAACATTAAGGGCTAAATTGAAATGTAAAGCTGTAAAATTAAACTTATTTAAGTTAATGCGATTATATTTTCAGCAATAAAGCTCAAATTAATTTTGAATAAAGTGTAGTTTAAGGAATTATACACTAAGTTCATAGCAATGTGTTCGTAAAATATATCCTGGTTTCAATCAAATAACTCTATGGTAAATTACAAATGTTGGAATATTTTTAAAAATTAAGAAAACTGACTATAATCCTAAATTTAAAATTTTTATTTCGACAATTTAAAGTCAGTAAAATATTTTTTGTAATTGCAGACAAATAGGTTGCCATTTATATAGTCCTATAATGTGAATATGTTATGATTAATGAATACCATTAATGTGTAATGAGTAAATGATACTAAATAGTAAATACTGAGAGTGCAAATATATCTGCCTGTTATTTAAAGGTAACGGCTTTGCATAACACAAATTTTTATATTTATGTTGTGATATTTTTGAACTGCTATGTGAAAATGTCTCTGCTTAATATAAAGTTGCATTTTTGTTAAATTCAAAATTTATTATTATATAATTTTGCTTATGCTTTACAAGAGGTATCATATGGCCTTGGTGTAGTAAGTTATGATGTGCATTTTAGTGATACGATGATTTACGTCTTGTTTCCTATAAGAATTGGTTTTAGTTATGAGCCATCGTGCACTTTTTAAATCAATGCCAATAAGTATGTAGTCTATAAAATACAAAACTGGAACAAGCAACTCAGTGTGATCACTTCAGAAAGAAATACTTGAAATTATTGACGGGGTCACAATTATTTAAGTAAATATATTTAGAGATTGGGAGTTTATGCAGTTGTATTATTAGCTTGCAACCAAGTAACACACTATACATGAAGAATGCAATACCATAATGTTGTAAATGCCAAAAAACAAACTTTACAGAAGAGGTAGAAAACACTTTTTCTAGTGAATGAATTTATTTCAATTTTACAATAAAATGGTAAAAAACTCATTAGGTTACAAATTCTCTGGAATATCAAAATGATGTAAATATAGTCTGTAACGTTTTATGCACCAAAAGTTACATGACTTGCACTTTGGTGCTTTAAACGTTATGGCTCCATATAAATTCAACTTCAGAATATAGCGACTTATGGTGCCACTATCGCCACAATATTTTTTTGCAGAAGAAAATATTACATTTAGAACTCAATTCTTCAATAAAATGTATTTAGAGAAAAATGGCATTTACAACATTATAGCATTGCATGCTTCACATATTGTTATTGCCAGGAATTAGCATCCAGAAATTTATACAACATGGAGAAACTGGAAAATTGAGATGCCAAGTTAAAGATTATTTGGTAAGGCTTTTCGCTTATTAATCTCCACACAAGATTGCAAACTTTTTATATCAAACTCCTTTCATCTCTTGATGCCNCCCCAGTCCTCTAAAAAATTTTCATTATCACAGATCACAGCAAAGTTTGCAAAATCAGTACTATTCAATGTGCTTATGGTTTTCATTGTGCTGATTTGGAACCCAATGTGCACATTGTTTTTGGTATCTAAGAACTTTATGACCAATTCTATGGATCTTTGACAACTTCCATATTTTAACCTTCAATCATTCTGTAACATTTCTTCCACACATTCACTGTTCTGTGACGTTTTTGGCTTCCCACTTCTTTCTTGATCTTGCAAACATGTGTCCATCTTTATATTGAGAACACCATACTGTGATCTGTTTTGCAATAATGCATTTTCACCATAAATTTCAGCAATTATGAATTTCTGTAGGAGACAATTGTTTAGTGTAGAGAAAATAAGTTACACAATTTATTTTTGTGTAGCCAGAAATAGGCAGTGCCACACTTGGACTTCATATAAAGTCAAAAAAAAATTATTTCTTTTTGTTTTATATATATATAAACTGAAGTGTAATTATATTTATTATTATTCATTCAATTAATCAAAAAATCTTACTGGAACTCAAACAAATAAATAATATAAGTAAACAACGCCTTCTATAACAGTCCAGCAATAATAATTAATTCTCTAATAACGTTTTCGACCGATTTTATCGGCCTTCATCAGTTACTGCTATAACGAAAACGAACAAAGTATTCGAAAATTTACGTAGAACAAAATTAAATTAAATTAACTGCGGTTGCGTAGAACGTTGGAAAAATAAAAATAAAAACAAAAAATACATAAATAAATAAAAATAATGCCTTCATCTCGAACTTATTCATTAACTTGTGTTATTGTAAAACGACCTCCAAGCAGTTGCCAAACCTTCAGCATCTCTATGATTGATACATCCCGTGGCTAAATGCGCTTTATGTATTTCTATTTTTTCAAGATGCTTCACCGCTTGTAACGATCTCGTGGCCCTAACTATCGCCGCACTATCCCAGTATACGGTTACATCTTGTTTTTTGGCAAACGCTGCCAGAACCGTACTGTCGATGTTCTTATCCATGGAATATTTATGCTCTTTTAGCCTTTGCCTTAAACTCCGCATAGTTGCCCCAACATACACGAGGTTGGTATTAAAGCGACGATCCTTTATAGGTATAGAATATATACCCGTTAAACTATTGCGATTATCCTTCTTCTTGTCATTCCTTAACAATCTATATACAGTTGGATTGCGTCGATAAATAATTCGTAACTTATTTTTATTGGCAACTTTCCTAATTATCTTGTTTAGAAATGGAAAATAATTAATAACTACATTTTTTCTTTGCTCTATTTCGGGAGGCTGCTGGTTTTGTATCTGCATTCTTTTAATAAGTGCCTCAATCTCTTTTCTGTGGTACCCCTGTTGGGTAGCAACTTTTTGTATGTAATCCAATTCCTCGTATGTATCAACTAAACTGGTGCAGTGGGTATACGCTCTTTTAATCCACGCTCTAAACGCCGCATATTTAACTTGCTTAGTATCAATCGAATTCTTTGGAATGATAATAGGTTGATAAACCGGTTTTCTATATATGCCTGTCCATATTTCTCCTTCCTTACAAGTAATCGATATATCCAGGAAGTTAACATTCTTCTCGCTTTCCTGGTCCAAACCCAAAGTCAACCCATATGGGTTATCGTTGATCCTTTCCATAAAATTCTGTGTGTTATCAGCATTTTTCCACAAGATGAAGATGTCATCGACGTACCTGGCATATATTATTATATAGCAGTAACTGATGAAGGCCGATAAAATCGGTCGAAAACATTATTAGAGAATTAAATATTATTGCTGGACTGTTATAGAAGGTGTTGTTTACTTATATTATTTATTCATTCAATTATTTTTCTTTTAAAAATGTTAGCACATTTAATTAAATTAATATGATTTTATATTTAATCTATAATTTATGTTCATATAATAATTTTTAATTTTTGATAATTTTTTAAAATTCTAGATTAAAGTAAAAAATATTGAAGAAGAAGAAACATCAGATCAAGAAGAGGAGCCACTCGATAAAATAGAAATATATTCAGAAATGTTAAAATTGATGAAACCGGGAGAAACAGTAAGGAAAGCCATTTGCAGATTGGGTGGTGGTAAATCGTCATATACGACGGCATCGAATAAATGGAGAAGAAAAAATGGAGAAGACAAATCAGATGATAAAGAAAGCCAAAACAAAGAAAAACTTTTGAAACTTTCAAGTCTTTCGACTAAAATGGTTTTAAGTGGAGAAATGGACATATATGAACAATTATATGAAAGATTGGACTTTCTTATTAAAGAAAGTAAATTTGTATGGTCATCAATCTCAACTTCAATATCATATGTTATCTAGAGAAGAAACTATGATGATGATAATTGAATTTTTATTCACCTAAATAATTTAGATGATTAAAATATATATACATATATTTTAATTATGTATAAATATAAAAATAAAATTACCTTAAACATAACATTTCTTATGCCCACTTCACTTGTTTTCATAAATATACAAGTTTTTATCTATAAAATAAATATTTTAATTTTATATATTTATATAAAAAAATTTATTAACTAAAACAAAATTTCACAACCATACCAAATAACTAAATTTATTTTCATTTGTAATCTTATCATTAGCATAGCATAATTCATTATTCAGAGATAAAAAATAAAACAAGATGTTTTAAGTTTTTATTTAAAAATACATTTAAATTAATATTTAGATTATTTTATTTCACAAATTTTTTGTAAGGTGAATGAGGAAAATGTTAATTAAAAATTTATGCACCTGCAATTAAAAAAATTAAATGTTTAACTTTTTTTCTTTTTTAGATAAGCTCTGCATTTGTAACGTTACAGAGATATTTTATTAAATTGACTGAATTTATAGTTACTTTATAATAATATTGTCATTTAATATTTTTTTGTTGATATAATTGATAATTTTAAATTATCCAAAATAATTTTAAATTATTCAATTTTATATGATCCTATGGCAAATCAATTCTTACTTTTTGGGAAGGTGTTATTTCTCCTAGTTGAATATTGTTTACAAATTGAACAGGTTCTTCATTTGACTCATTAGGACTTTCTTTGTAAAAGAAAGCTAATTAAAAATAAATTATTATTATTATTATTATACAAGAAAAATAAATAAATTTTAAATTATATGTAATAATAACCCACACTACAACAAATGTTCCATAACACTATAATGGAGCTGAAAATTTGTAGCTGCCCATACCTTTTCTATGTTTAGACATCTTTAGATTAACGAACATTTAATTGTATTGCAATTGTATTAGATATAGTCTATATTAGTAAGCTATACCATATAAGATTTGTATAAATATACTCTATGGTGTTTACTTAAAGAGATATTTCTCAGAATGTATCCCTGTTGTTAAGTGATTTTTATGTTTAGATGATGTTAAATTTTAAAGGTTTTTTTTTCAAAAAATTCTTTGTCTAATTAATTTTGGGTTATTTTAATTGAATTTCAAATCATCAAGCAATCAAAAATTGCTGTTTCACAGTTAATATCAACATTTTACAGTGAAAATGTTTAATTTTGTATCCAATTTGATTCAAAACATGCATGATTTAGAAAATGTGTACTGAATTCAAAACTTCTGATCTGAATACACTTAGATCTCACATTAGTCTTTCATATTGTTCACGAAAATATCATTATCTATTCCACTAATAACATCTAAAACACAAATGACATTCATACTTAAAAATTCTTAGTGACTATGGAGAAAACAAAATAGAAATTTCCATTCTCAAAAAGAGATTGAAGAGAAGGATATAGTCTAAACCTGACACTGGACATGTGTAGGAAGTTCATATTAAAAGTAGTTTCTAATCATTTAAAAAAACAGCAATCAAGAAACATCATTCTTAAAATGTCTTTTTTTTTCTGCGATTTTGACAAGTTTTAAACTGTGGTTGAGATCTAGAACCTATCTTTACAAGCCATCCATTATTCTTCACTAGCATTTCTAAATAATAAAATATGCCAATATTCGGAATTTAAATAAACATGAAAAATATTTTTTTTTTTGTTGGATATAGAGAGAGAAAAGTCAAGAAATAAAGTAATGACAACTAATTAAAGTTTCAAACTAACATCTCACTAGCATTGGAGAGAAGATTCATTATTAAGTACTTAATGTGGAATAAATATTGTTTATAAATCAAACTGAAATGACAATACTTACTATTTTCAGTTAACACAGTTAGAGAATCATGCAAGTTGACTGTCAATACTACATTCTTTATTGGATTAAGTTCTTCGTTTATTACTTCTACACTTGAAGCATAAAATTCATTCACCAAAGAAGGTGGTTGATGTTCTACACTTAGTTGTATACATGGATGTCGAGGAACAATACTGAAATTAATATACCAAAAACTTTAATAGAATTAAAAAGCTTGATTTCATCTAACTTTTAAGTTATTAAAATAGTCTATCAAGATCTAATACCATAATTACCATAAAAATAATATGTTAAATTAATCATATTGCATCTTATCCTTTTACTATAAAATAATTACTTTATCTAACATCTCTGATTATATTATTTTGAAATAATTTACATTTGTGAAGAATTAAAAACTTTTAAGAATAAATTAAATTAAGATGTACTGTTTGTAGAAAAATAGAACAGAATCATTTCATATAAAATGCTACACGCAGTATTAAAGATAATGCTTTTTCACTTCGTAATAACTTTACAGATTTTAAATTACAATCAAATTATTTTTTTTTACATTAAAAAAAATAATAGTACTTGATTATATATAATATAAATAATTATGCATTTAGAATCTTTTAAATGTGTGATTATATTCTATTTGCTTAAATAGAGATCCCTTTAAAATGTTTTATTTATAATGTAGTTGTTACTGTGAAAGACCGAAATTAGTGAATGTCGATATTCTCCGGTGAATGTCGACACATACAAAATACGTCGGTGAAAGACCGAATATTTAGTTAAATTATTATACATTCGAGCAATCGCCGGTGTATGTCGACAAGCACAGATAAGCTTTGGTGGAAGTCGAAACAACGCCCGAGAAGTTGATGTCGCCAAATCCTTTGTGGGTAGCTGGAGGTGGGACAAGGTCGTACCTCTTTTCCCGGCAACGGTTTGGTGGAAACCACCCACTTTGTCACTGGATGGCATTTTTATTCTTTTGATCCCGTGAGGTGGGGGATCGGTTTGTCAGGTCGAGTGGCGGAAGATGAGAGTGGTCGGCGATATCCGAATAAAAGACATCATTAACAGATATAAAGGCAAAAATTTATTGAATAACGAAACAACAAAAAAACGTTTACAATGATGACAATCAAATATCGTTCAAGATTTAACTACCTCTTGATTACAAAGTAAAGGAACCGAGAAAGAGTTTACACGCTTGATATCATACCCAGGGCCATGTCGTGCTATGTTGCAGAGATGCGGCCGCACCGTGAGGGGGCGGCATAAAAAACATTTAAGGGGCAGAATTTCAAAGACTTGCATCATACTTAGAAAATCTACCGCTCGGCCCTGATCATACCTCTTGATTATTCCCACGGAGGATCAAATGTCTTTTTTTTTTTTTTTTGGTCAAGGCACAAATTTATAAGTTTACGACTAAAATGTCCAAATCGCACTTAACAAAGTGAAGTTTGATGTTACGGATCATCAGTAAAGTCTGGCTTATTTCTTGTCAGCAGATTGGTGAGAGACTCCCAGGTGGGGGAGGAATCGGTCTTATATAGGTTCGGCCTAGGAAAGTTAGTCAGGTTGTCAGGTAGACTGTTGTCAGAAGTAAAGGTTATTTTAGCAGGTGTAAGGTTAAAAGGTGTTCCCGGGACGATAATAAAGTGAAGAAATCGGAGGCAATTGTAAACTTATGCCGTATAATATTATAAATATTATAAATTTCTATAGCTGTTGATGAGATATTAGATCTTCCTTTCTGGCTATGTTATTTTTAACGGTTGGGTGATGAATTTAGTTAAGATATGTCAACAGTTTATGAGTTTACGAGGGAAGGGAAAAATTTGTTTTACACTCGATTCGGATTTCCCCACCTTTGTTCTGCCGCGACTGAATCACGTGATATCTATTTGTTATACTCTCGAACACTGCTGTTTGTCAGTCTTATGCAAAGTTTGCTGGTGTGTGCAACGTTTTCTTAAATTTTATTTTTTCATCCGATACCCTAATTTATATTGAATGGATACTGCAGTGAACCAAGAACTTTTTTTTGAAAAGTTACGTGCATTAATTGCAAGTAAACGAGAAGACAATTGTTTTTATTTTTCTCAAGAAAAGTACTCTAAAATACTTTCTGAAGTGATTTCTGCTAAAACTAAGTGCAGCACACCTTTCGATTACAGACGATTAAAACGTTTTGACGTTTTAAAAATTAATGAGGAAGAGAAATTAATTGTACCATTAAAACCAGGAGAAACGAATATACAGTATTATGTTACCAATGACGAATTGTTCAGTATACTATCTGAAACTCACAGCAGAACAGGACATGGAGGAAGAACACGTATGCTTAAAGAATTGCAACTTAAATACAAAAATATTACATATGAAGTTGTAATGTTGTATTTAAATTTATGTAAACAATGTCAAATGAAACATAGTGCACCTAAAAAAAATATTGTTGTGAAACCAAGGGTCAGTTCGGAGTTAAACTCAAGATGTCAAGTCGATCTGATAGACCTGCAGTCACACAAGGATGGCGAATATAAGTTCATAATGGTGTATCAAGATCATTTAACGAAATTTGTCCAGCTACGACCTTTGAAAACTAAGACAGCTGAAGAAGTAGCGTATCACCTTCTTCAAATATTTTTAACATTTGGTGCCCCAGCTATATTACATTTAGATAATGGTAGGGAATTCTGTAATCAAGTCATATCCGAACTATGCGCTATGTGGAAAAATGTTAAGATTACGGTTTCTCAAACGGGATTCCGGGATCCCGGTTGTATTTATAACCCGGGAAATATCCCGGGAAATTTTTCTTATCCCGGGAAATCCCGCAAATTTCTTAAAAATTCACTTTTTTTCTTATTTTGTGTTAAGGTTGAGGAATTTTGCAAATAAAAAGCATAATTAACTCAT